CCAGCAGACATTTGTGCTCACAGTAAAGGCTGGATGGATGAGAATGTAGTGTGTGTGTGTCAGTGCTTCCAGGCAGATTATGCGCTTGCCTTTCACCAGGGGATAGTTCCCTTTTTATAAGAGTTAAAGTACAGGACTTACATTGACCTGTAGATAAGTTGATCCAGGTTTTGGGGGTTAATTTTTTGACTAAAATTTCTAGACTTATACATGAGTATATACAGTACCTTTGGACTACAGTAACCAGAATCCCCCAGCCAGCTTGGTCACTATGTAGGTTGATTGGGGGAGCAGAGGGTTAGTGGTCCAAAACTGTAACTTTCCCAGGCTTTGTCTCTAGCCATAGACTTTCCTGATCTGATCTCCTCTAGATCTCCTGCACTACAATGCCCAGAATTCCCTGGGAGAGGTCATAACTACTGTTTGGAGGAGGAGAAAAGTATTAGGGAATAGGTTTGGCTGTTCGATGTGTTGCTATGTTTTGTAATGGTATAGTTGGTTGTTTTGATTGTAGTATGTATGCATATATATATATATATATATATATATATATATAATTTGTTTGTGAAATGCATTTGTTTTTGTGCTCCGTCCATTGGCTTCCCCAAAGAGTTTTGCAAAAAGGACAGATGAGTCTTTCCCCCTTGACTCATTATTCAAGAGACTGAGAGAAAGTTAATTTTTTAGGGAAAAAAAAGCAAACAATTTTTAAGAATTTGATTCTCAGGTTTATATACATCCCTCAAGCCCCCCTCAGCTGAAAATAAAGATTCTACTTTTACTTTAAAACAACTAGTCCTGAAGAGATGATGATGATGATGATGATGATGATGATAGTGACTTTTATTTATAACACCTTTCCGTTGATAGTAAGGAGCCAACCATATAGGGTAACCTATGCCTCATTTTAGTCATTTTGACTTGAAGTCATTTGGCTTCCTTAACCAGGAGCCCAAAAGACTAAACTTAGGCTATTGTACTTTGGACATATCCTTTGGAGAAGGATGACATGATTCTTTGGAGAAGATGATCTTTCTAGATAAAGTGGAAGGAAGTAGGAAAAGAGGAAGACCACATTACAAGTCGATTGACTCCATCAAGGAAGCCATGGCCCTCAGTTTCCAAGCCTGTTCCTAACAGGTTTTCTTGGAGGACTCCCATTCATAGCACAACCACAAGCTGAAACCTTGTTAGCAAATAACAACACCTGCTGGATGTTGTCTGGGTGCCTCCTATGCTCCCCATGCCACCAAATGGCCAGCCCTTCCACTGACTTATTAAATGGTCCAGACAGCATCCTTTTGGACTGGGCTTCCAGGTTAGGGGATGGCACTGTGCATGTGGATGATGGATATGTGAGTGCACAGCGGTTGTCAAAGGACATATGTCTGCATAAAGCCTGCTTTTGTCACCAACAGGATTCTAGCCATAGTCTCATGGAGATATTTTGCTGGAAGAGGCCTTCCAAGTTGACTTGATGCCAGTTGACAACTACCGCCCGCCATACACTTCCAGTAGAGCTTTGACTAATTTCATCCCATTGAGAAATGTTCGATATCGTACATCTCCTGACGTCCCAGAAAATACATATTTTTACATTTTGATGACCAAACTGCTGGACCAGCACACAATTTTGGATGCTTTGGCATAATATGCATGTGAAAATCACCCCAAATCACACTATTTCTTTTATAATTTGGGATATTGTTGTTGTTGAAGGACTGGCTGATGGATTCACGATCCACACGATTTCAGGGCCATGTGAGGCCATACTATCTCCATCCCTGTGTATAAGGAAAGAGCTGCTGCGTTTGACTTATTTAGGAGATACACTGAATATATGCTGGGTATTCACTATAAAACCCCTTTCTACAGTCTTTGATGCTGCCGTGTTCCTGAGGTTTTCTTGATCTCTTGCCCCGCTTCTTGATCTCTTGGTTCAAGCAATGTCTCTTTAGAGAGAAAGCCACCCCAAATACCTGGAGGTCTCTGCAGTTTTCCTATTGTGGATCGTGTTTCCCGAAAGCCTCCTAATCAAACCCACCCAGTTCCTGAAATCTTATAATCCAGTCCCGAGGAGGGCAAAAGCCATTGTGACGGTGAAAGCCGTGGCGGAGAAAATGGCGCTGACCTCTTGGCCGGCGGTAAGGTTGCACAGATCAGTGAAACAACAGTAGTCAGGGTGACTCTCACCAATTGTATCTGGCTCCGAGGGGATGCAGTCTTTGGAACAAGACTTTTTCACGGTGATGTTTCCGAAAAATGGGAATCCTGAAATATATTTATTGGACGACAGTGTGAGACAGGTGGAGAAAAAGAGGCACTTTTAATATCTATCTATCTATCTATCTTGAGCCAGTGTGGTGTAGTGGTTTGAGCGCTGGACTATGATTCAATCAGGGGTAAATTGTGACTTGGCCATGGAAACTCACTGGGTGATTTAGGCAAGTCACACACTCTCAGCCTCAGAGGATGCCAATGGCAATCTCCCTCTGAAGAAACTTGCCAAGAAAACTAAATGATCGGTTTGCCTTAGGGTTGCCAAAAGTTGGAAATAACTTGAAGGCACACAACAACAACATCTACCTATCTACCTACCTATCTTGAGCCAGCATGGCATAGTGGTTTGAATGTTGGACTATGAATCTGGAAACCAAGGTATGAATCCTGGCTTGACCATGGAGCCCCCTGGGTAACCTTGGGCAAGTCACACTCTCTCTGCCTCATAGAATGGCAATAGCAACCCCCCCTCTGGTGAAAATTGCCTAAGAAACTCCATGTTAGGTTTGCCTTAGGGTTGCCGTAAGTCGGAAACAATGTGAAGGCACACAACAACATCTATCTAATCTTCCATCTATCTAAGAAGGAATGAGTTGGCTGAAGCATCCTTAGGCCTTAGTTGCATCCTTCCAGCTGCTGTGTCGGCAAAGTCAATGCTATTGTATGGACAATTCTGTACTGCAATACAGCTTTTCACTCACATGGGTGAATTTGCTCCTAATGTGTTTTGCTTGTGGACCATAAATACACCCCCCCCCACCAACGTTGCACAGATGAAAACCAGGACATGGTTTCAAACAACATCAAGGTGTGGTTAAGATGGCAAATCTTATTAATGAGGAAAAACATACAAGCCACAGAAGGCTGCAGCAGTTTGCTTTTGTCTCAGCCTCCTGGGAAGGGCAAGATTCCACTTTCTCTTCTCTTCCTCCGGAGTTACAAGGTTATCACATACTTAAATAAATCGCCTTACCTGATCCGGCTTAAAATGTAAATCGTGCGGCATACTGATATTATTAGAAGGATTTAGCCACTGAATCCGCTGCCTGGGTCCATTCCGGGTCCATCCCTTTTTCCAAGGGTGCTCAGCATGGCTCTATTCAAAGCCAGGAGTTTTCCAGCTTGAGAAAATGGCCACCGGAGCGCCCCTGTGAGTGGAGATGGACCTAGGATGGACTCTGGTGGCAGATTTGGTGGCTATATCCTTCTGATAATATCAGGATGCCGCCCGATTTAAATATTAAACAGGATCAGGTAAGGCGATTTATTTAAATATGCAATAAGCTCCCAAGCTGGGTGCAACCTACTCTTGCACTTTGAACTCAGTTTGCAGCAATTGAAGTAAGCTGAGGACAAAGGGGAAAGTGGGAGGAGGAGAGAAGAAACTGGGCATTTTAAGAGTAACTGAAAAAGTGGGACACCAGAGGATTAATTGGGATTGTTGGTGCTAAATCCACCCTCCAGTTGGAGAGCATGGGTTACTTCTAGACTAGAAAATACCTATTTTTCAAGCCAGAAGTGGTCTTGGAGGCACTGGGGATGCCATAAGGCTTGGAGTGGGGTGTGCACTTTGCAGACCCCAATCAAAGTCTTGGTTTTCATGCATTTGTCCTTACCTGAATCGACAGAGAGCACTGTGGTCTGGCAGGCAGTGGTGTCCATAGAGCAGTTGGTGATGGAGACGCAGTTGCCAAGATCCGTGGGTTCATTGCAGGTGTAGCACTGCAGAGCGAGAGCTATGAAAGCCAGAGGGAACAGCATTAGAGCAACTAGGTCATCGCTGGATTTTTACTCAGCTGATGGAGAGAGATTGGCCAGGATCCTACCTTGCGCTTGTGCAATGCAAATCTACACTCACATGACATGGTGGTTGTACAACTCCAGCCTTCTACTGGACACTAACATTATGCAGCAACTGGTGCAAGTGTCAAGTGGTAAGGTGTATAGACAATGGCGAAACATCTGGAAACCATACTCCATGAGTAGGTTTGACAGATGAAGTAAAGGACATGGTACATGTGCCAGCATGGCATAGTGGTTTGAGTGTTGGACTAGGAATCTTGAGACCAGGGTTCGATTCCCAGCTGAGCCATGAAACTCTCTGGGTGACCTTGGCCAAGTCACATTCTCTCAGCCTCAGGGGAAGGCAATGGCAAACCTCCTCTGAATAAATCTTGCCAAGAATACTCCATGATAGATTTACCTTAGGGTCGATGTAAGTCGGAAATGACTTGAAGGCACACAGACAACCACCACCTCCATTATATCACCCTTTAACTTCCATTAGGTGGAAAGTATTTAATCTATACTTTATTAAAAGGGTCTTAAGGTCATATGGGCAAGAAAAGGCTAAATAAAGGAGGGGGATTTTCCAGGATAAATGGTGAAGTTTTTATAAGAAGTAACAGAATGGTAACTATCCACCCGTGCAGCATTTTCCCGGAAATCAGTATCAGCGAAACGTCTTGCAATTCCCAATCAGTTGCCATTATAGCCTTTTGCAAGTGAATCATTTGTTGAATGGGATATCCCTTATTTTCTGATACAGCAAGCTGGTTGGTGGATAGCAGCATTAGCCACC